GATTTCTTCTTTTTCTTCAAACTTGATGACTATTATATCAGAATCACGTCTACATGCGTCAGTAGCATTGATACTACCGAAAATGAACTAGACTCGATGATATGTATAATAATCATCGAAAAGAAAAATTAATGAAATTCATAATGATTGTACAATTGCTTTAAACACTATACACACTCAATACTGCTAGAGAAGCGATTATTAAAGCTGTTTTTGTTATGATTTGTTCAACACTGTATAAAGAATTACAAAATTGTGTTGAGATAAATCAAGTTTGATTAACACACACAATAGCAAAAAAGAGCATGTTTTTTAACATGAGGTATTCAACAAACATAACATGAAAATCATTGTCGTTGAATAATTGCTTGAAGAACTAGTTAAAATGATAATGATGGCAAAAGCAGATCTATGTTTGAAAGAGTATACATTTTGCATATTATAATTGCACGTGATTATCTATAGCCATCATTAAACTTTATAAACATCATATAAAATTCTTAAACAAACCATTAAGTCAAAGCAAAATATTTCAAGTCGATTTGATTTTTATCAATTAAATTTTGATTTGAATCAATTGATTGTCTGCTTGAAATTTTGCTCATTTAACTTATTTATATTTAGATATACATGTGATCGAAATTTTTCAACATTTGCCGATGTTTTATTAATGCATCGATATGATATTCATTTTGATCAATTACCAATTGAACGTAATCCGGAGCAAATTTGGTTATATTGGCAAGATGAACCCGGTGGTGTTCAAAATCAAACTAATTCTTATCATTTCAATTGGACTATATCATATCGTTTTAATGCTGAAGTTAATATAGGTGCTTATGGTTTAACTATTCTTCGTCATAAACCATTATCTTTTAAAGACTTTAATGCTTATATAAATCAACAATTCAATAATCGAAAATCAAATGCCTTATGGTTTGTTAGTAATTGTAAACCAAAAGCTCGTCTGAATTATTATGATGAACTTCATTTATATTATCCATCAATAAAAGTTTATGGACACTGTGTTTTACAAAATAAAACAAACCATTGTCATCGTCATTCGCATTGTGAATCTTCTGAACTTTCAAAACATAAATTTTATTTAGCATTTGAATCACAATCATGTCGAGATTACATAACAGAAAAATTTTGGCGTTCACTGGCTTATGGTACGATTCCGATTGTATTTGGGCCACATGATAAAAAATCCTTAGAAAAAATAGCCCCACCTAATTCATTTATTTATACTGGGGATTTTATATCGGCATCAAAACTTGCAGAACATTTAAATGAAATTGGTCGAAATCGAACATTATTTAGAGAATATCATCAATGGCGTCGTTTTTATCAAGTTCTTTATCGACCAGAAGATATTGAACATTATCGTTTTTGTGAACTTTGCTATCGATTAAATACAAATCAGAATAGAATTTATTATCAAGATTTAAATACATTTTTTCTAGAAGAATGTTAATTTATGTCTAAACATAAATAATTATCAAAATAAAATTTATAATAAAGAAGAACTTAAAATATAAAAATACCATCTAAGATTCTCAATAATTTAATTAAATATATTTAAGTAATATATCTTTGGATACTTAAGCTTTTCTCTGATAATATCGTAAAACTAATTTTTAGTCAAAATTCTTCCATTCATCACATTTTACTTTGATTTCATTAAAGCAAAACTTTTTCATTATTCATTGAGTGTTGACAGATCAATGATATCTCACTATCAGAGAGTATTACATAAATTTCCACGTGCACAAATAAATTTCCTGACAGATTTTCTCACTACTTTTCTTATGAGTTTATTATGGTGCTCATGTTTGCCGTTTTCATATTCAGACAAAAAAAGATTGACTATAAATTTTAATAATTATTAAAAAATTTTTTTCAATACGCGTTGTTACATTAGAGCTTCTAAAATAAATAGAATTTTTCTTGTCTTTAATAAATCTATTTCTATACAAATCTTACTGTAACAATGTCAACTTCAAAGTAGTTTGAGTTCAATTAATAAATTACTTCTTTTCTTTCATATAGCGGATATATCATAATGATTGCAACAGTTCGTATTTTGCAAATATTTCAGCACAGATGAATCGTATGATCTTGATCTTTTTTTTTAGAGATGCGCCGAGAAAGTCTGTACAAGAATGACAATGAAAAATCCTATGAAATCACTTTAATGACTTTTTGTATAAGGCTAAAAGTGAAGCACTGTATGATGATGAAATGTCTCTTTATTCTGATATAAAGAAAAATTAAATTAAATGTTTAGCATAGATATGAACACTAATAAATCATAAAACCTTAAGTTGCTTCGTTTTACATATATCATGGAATCCTTACTGATTTTATAGTAAAAGATTCTTTGAATTATGTTGAGAAGGTTTTCAGATGGAACAAGTACAGATCTTCGTGATATCGTTATTACCCATTACAAATATGGAACTAAAGCTTCAGAAATTTCGAGTATGTTTACTAATAAAGTGCATCATGCTACAGTTCATCATTGAATACTGTGATTTAATCAAAGTAGCTCGGTTGACACACACAAATCATCGAAAAGGGTATGGATGATCGAAAAAGATCAAACCAACACGAAGACGAACACCCACGCACACGCACACTCACACCCCACATCTACATCCAGGTTTCACCTAGTCTGTTTGTTATTGAAAAAGTTTTTCAAGAAAACTAGATTTCTGTTTCATGTTTGACCAAAGAACAGGTAATTGATCTATTTGATATGAAATTTTACAACATTGCTCTGTGATTTTGTGATAGTGTTCGCGGTTAAAGTCGTGTTAGAAAATTGTTGAATAGAAACATTCTCAGATGATGCACATAGTACTCTTGAAATAAATATGTCAGCGTTGAATTCGTTTGTTTTTATACAGATGTAAGATAAGTGTACGACGATTACGATGGAAGAAAAATCATCTAGTGTCCATGTGAAGATGTCATCTAATGATAAGTTACTGATGATAGGGTAGAAAATACGTTCATGGTGATTGGTTGTTAAAGATTGGTGTTAGGATTTACGCTCACGAAGAATGGCGAACACGATCAAAGATTTACATTTTTTCTTCTCTTTACTTATTCTTTGAAAAAATAAGTGTTTATATACGCACATGAAAACAAAGATAGAATAGAAAAGAATACGAAGGTTAATCAAGGTCAGAGAAAAACGATTAAAACGAAAATATCAAAGAAAAGAAAATGAATAGGTTCGGGATGTATGTTACAAGAACACACTGTAACAATTGGATTATAGAATAGTCGAAGATGACGTCATGTCAGATTATATTTTGTACAGCGAATTTTGTAGGTGTGGGTAATTTTAAATATTAATATATTTAAATGTTATGGCTCCGTATCTGACTTGAAAAGGTTAGAACCCATGTCACGAAAGTCGGATTATTTTTAGGCATAAACCCCGGTTTACAAGCAAGGAACCAGTAAATCGAAGAAAACCGGCAGTTTACTCCGAAAAAGTATCATTTAATCGAGGCTAACCGAAAAACCACCGGTCTTCCGCTGTAATGTAGCCCATAACTGAACCGGTGCAACCGCAGTAAACCTCTGGTTTTTTTCTCAGTTTTCATTACATGAAAACTCTGCAAGAAAAAAGGTTGGAAGAAATAATAGCTGGTGACTTAGGAAAAAAGTTTCTCACTTACGCGAGCATGTTTTATTCAACGGCATCGGCCTATATGAAAGAGCTTTACCAAAGTTATATGAATTCATCAGCGATAATTTTAATTATATGCATTTGAATTATCCACAAGTGCAAGCGGTAGTTAGACCGTGTTCAAATTTGACTATGGCAATAACTGGTGTTATTTTCATGCTCAACTTATCATGACATTTGATTGATGATTCATGACAGAAGTTTTCTTAGGGTTAAATGAATTTACTCAAGAAGATCATCAATATTTTTGATGAGTTATTGAATAATGGAACAAAACCCATAATTTGAAATTAAATTTCATAAAAGATTGTCAAATCATTAACTTTTTTTTTTTATTTCAATGAATATATATTGTGAACATGAACACGTCTCTCAGGTAGTAAGTTTACAAGAACTGGGATTATTTGAGCACAAATAAAAGTAAAATCTCTTTACTCACGTCCAACAACTATAAGTTCAATAATGGAATTTTGTGTCGCAAAAGTATCTGTAGTAAAACGACATTGTGTCAAAAAAAATAGTGTCCAGGAAGAAATTGTCTGTTGCTAGTTGTATGTCAATCAAACAGTTTGAATTTCATCAGCAAATAATCAAAGCTAATAATAACCTCTTATTCATGAGAGATATAGTACACTCGTAATTACATATCTGACCGGTTCAATTTCTAAGATTTTTCTTTCTCAGCTTTCTTACGAAAATATCTTCGCAACTGGCATCTATTTAAGATATGTGTAGGCTGAGAATTAGTTAAAATGATATGAAAAATATTTGTGAATAACATCATCTTCACTATTCTAATAGAAACAGAGAATATGGCATCAGTGTTTATGGCTTTATCCTGCAACATTGTGATAATAATTTAATTAAAAGAATGTTATTCGAAACAAAAGATTTGATATTACAATTCAGACACTATTCCAGATCAGCGGCTTCTACACTCTTTGATGTTTCACGTCAAACAAACCAATTAATATAAAGTGTGTTGTCTATCTATACAAGAATTAGTAATAATTGAACTGCTTAATACATTCATCTTGATTTTTATACTTCCGATAAGATGCTAGCACTACTACAATAATTTTAATAAACAACAATGAAAATATAATGTTGATTTATATAGTGAACATAGAAAACTTTTTAAAATGAGTCGGATAACAGAAAGCTTTTTCTCTTCTATGTTTGTGCTTTTGATGAAAAAATAAAAATTCTCCTAAAGTAGAGGTACGTATCCCTCCACCATTCATCCAGCGTTACATCTTTGAGATATAGACATTCATCCACTTGACTTCAAAAGAATAGTTGAGTATTGAAAAACAGGGTTGCATCAATTAGCTTTTCCTATTGGTAAAGTCCTAATCATAAGTTCAAGTATTCTCATCAAATTTTCAGAATCCTATCATTCATTGTGCATATTGCTGATTCATATATGGATTCATTTATCTTCATCAAAGATCTGTAATTATTTTGTATCGTTTTAGAATTCTAATGGCGTTAGTATCGTCAACATTTCTTTAGATACATTACGGAACAATTATGAAGCAGAAACACTTTGATATTGCTTCATAGTGCTCCTATATGTCCTATAATTCTTATATTTTCAAAATCAATCCTATAAGATCTTTTTTTTTCAAGAGTTTTCCCCATATTTCAATATTTTTCGAAAAAATGAAAATTCTGCATATTGACTCATATTTTAGAAAAAGAACTATTTCGCGTGTTGATGGCAATATCATGACTAAGATGTGTAACATAATGTGTAGATAGCAATGACTGTTCATATGTGTATTAATCTTTTTCTAATTTTTTTCAAGATTATAAGTGATGATGTAATTGGTTTTTTTTTTATTTTCCAAAAGTTTTCACAGAAAATGAGCGATCTTTCTTTTGTAAAATACAATTTGAATGGAATATAGAAGTATAGGAGTAAAATTTTGATGACTTCTATTCGATGTCGAGATAGCAGAAGCGAAACGACAAAAAAGTATTAATTGTTTTCAATCAAATTTTTCAGCACAGTTTTCTCAACCGAGTGTAACCATTCGTTTTTACTGCGCTGAATGCTCTATAACATGAGATATGATTCAACTTTGCTACATGTTATACTAAGGAGAAAATCAGGCCTAGAATGTGGGTGTTCGTCTTTATGTTGATTTGATCTTTTTCAATCATCCACATCTACACCAGACCTACACACTCACAGCCACATCCTAAATTATCATGCAGTCTATGATCACCATTCGCCCTTATACATATAGATACAGGTTTTTCTTCAGTTTTCATCAGGATTATATTTGCCGAAGATTCAAAATACTTTGTTTTGTGATACATTGTATCTAATGACTAGCACATCCTTCACTAGAGTCCAGCGAATTCAAAATTTTCGGATCCGGCTAGGTCTGAAACCAACTCGACAAATTCTAGTCTGAAGAATTTCAATTATACGTTTTAGCTATTGGAATACGAATGTGAACATTGAAAATAGTTAGTTCTGAAAATTTGTTCTACTTGCATCAAAATAATGTTATTGATAAATTTTGATTTAATTTTCTTCATCGTATTGCCTTATAAAACAAGTCAAAATTATGTTGAAGCGGCACAGATACATTTCTCTTATTTGAGAAAAAGTAAAATTTCTTTAGTGAGATCAACCATAGTAGTATTTGTTTATACTAGTCGAATAAAAGAAAAGCTTCAATTACCAATAGAAAAAAGATCAGCTCATTTTGATTAAATCGATGTAAAGATATTTCAACAGCGGTTAAGATGAACTTAGCAAATATCTGCTTAATTGCTCAAAATAAGTTATTAATTAGATGAAATCCTGAATGACCTAAAATAATTAACGTTCAATGTTCATCAGAATCTAATTCATATGAAGAAAATGATTTAACTAATACCATGTTTAATTCATTCTCATATTTCACACTACTGAAAGTATAGCATACATTATACTAAATAGTTTACTGACGGTGATTCTCATCTCAATAGACATAGTCAAAAACAGACGCGTTACGTAGTGTTTATAGAGCAACTAATTCACAGTCATCACATTGAATCAATCAATGAAGAAAATCTATTATAAACAACTCACGAGGAAACATATTTAGTATTCAAGCCATGTAGACTTCATCTTTCGACTATAAGCTAACCTCTATGACGTATGAAAAGCCTGGAGAAGATTCATTCTCTCGCGTCTTTTTTCCCAATATACGGCTGTTCTATTGAATGTTCGAACAAAGATATAGCATATCGAGAACTTTATCAAATGAATGAATTTTGATCTGAAATATCGTCTATAAACAGACCTAATGATTCATCGAATATCTTCAACATATCAGTCAAAATGGATGCTCCCATAGTATGTTATTAGAATTCCAATGAATGTCCATATTTTAACAGAATGTTATAAAATCAAGATTTTCTATCAATATTATATCTTGCTAAAAGAACATCCATTTTTACTGAAACGTTGAAGATATTCTATGAATCATTAGATCTATTTATAGACGATATTTCAGATCAAAATTCATTCATTTGATAATGTTCTCGATATGCTATGTCTTTGACCGAACACTCAGTAGAACAGTCATATATCAGAAATAAAGACACGAGAAAATGAATCTTCTCCAGATTCTTCATACCTCATCGAGTTGAGGTTATGGTCGAAAGATGAAGCCTACATGACTTGAACACCTAAATATGCTCCCTCGTTATTTGAAAAGAAGTTAGGATAAATTGTAAACAATTAGTAAAAAGAAAACTGACTATCAAAAAGTAGTATGTTTATTTTCACATTATGATGTTCATATAAATGATCATATTCATTTTGATAAACGATACATCTGATATTGAAACCTTTTTTTAGACCTAAATTCTTCAAACCCGAATGATTTTCGTACATATCTTATGATACTCATTGAGATCAATCTTATGCACATAGTACAGAGAATCGTCTATCGAATTATATTTATATATTGATATAATGCCTTTTATTTTATTCTTAAGCAATCTATTAGATAGAAAAATATCCTAGAATGAAAACTGTTCGTTAATTTTCCATAAGTGGTTGTACCATTCTATCGATTTGAGCAGTAGATAATTGTTTTACATCAGCTTGTTGTTCATAAGTAGGTACTGAAAATTTAATATTAATAAAAGCATCTTGTCCACCAAATTGTTCGAGGACCATTAATGTTTTATCAATGAGACGAACAATTTCATTTGAAATATTTCTTTCATAATCATCAATCATATAACATTGTCTTTGATTTTGATAAAATTTTTCTTCATTACGTTCTTTCATAATATTTATAATAGGTAAAAGTTGATTAAAATAAGGTACTAAAGCGATACCAATAGCACCATCATTACCACGAGCTAATTTTTGAAGGACAAGTAAAACACGACTAATAACAATTGGATCATACGTGTATAGAGCACGTTTAAGTGGTACAATCATTTTTGAAAGTGTTTCAATATCAATCTTATGCGAAGCATGTTCAAGCAAATCTAAAACACCTAATTTACAAAAGAAAATCACAAGTATTTCATTTTTTTTTATGAATAAATATTTTACATACCTTGTAAAGCAATAAAACTATATGGATATTTTGTTTCACACAATCCATCAGTAAAAATTGGTAAATAATAATCAATATTTAATGTTTCTATATTATCAATAAACCATTTTAAAGATTGTCCTTTTGTTGTATGATGAATCGTACAAGGAAGATCACCACGTTCATAGAATAGTCGAAATTTTTCTGAACGTAATGATCGTTTATTAAAAGCATTAAGACGTATTGAAGGACAAACAATTGAACATCGTTGACGTGATTGAATAGAAAATGCTGGTACACAATATTGAGAACGATATTCTTCCAATGGACATTGACAATATGGTTTATTCGTAGAATTAAATAAGTGTGCTTTAAGAATGCTTTCACAACAATAAGGCATTTCGAAAGAGATTTATCAAAATTAATATTAAAGAGATTTTTAAAAGCAAACAATGTTTCTATGGATTTTTCTATCAAATAAGATATAATTTTTTTTTTCATTTTTATTACATAAATAAAATTTACTTCTATTTCAATATCTGTATAACATACTATGTCATTTTTCTTAGAATATGTTGACTAGTGAACATACATTTAATAATGATATAAAAACAAATTTAAATAAAAATACATTTCATGTAGAATTCAACTATCATCAACAATTAAATTCAGATAATGATGAAGATTGTTCATGTAATACTTGTGAATGTTCAAGTTGTACTGATGAAGATAATTATGATGAAAATATCCTGGTAGACAACAATATTAGGTCTATTAATCCATCTCAATCAATAGACAGATCCACAAATGGATTAATTAAGAAAACTTATCCAGTAAAACTAGCATTGACGAGTAAAGTTCTTCAACTGATAAATCACTTTTAAGATGTGGCTTAGCGCAATATGTAGACCTAAATGAGTTATGACTATTCTGAAAACACTTCATGTCTTTAACTTATTGTTATGAATATACAGCTCTTTTCAGATGGTTTTTACTTGAGAATGTCACGCTTTTCTCAGAATATACAAGAAAACTGATTTTCTAATCTCCACTTGAAATTTTGCATAGAGCCAAGTCTTAACGAAAATAATTTTTTGTGAGGGTTTCAGACCTTGCAGTTTCTGCTATCCTAAGATATGACTACTGTTATAGTTGTATCTTAACTATCATTCACGAGAAACCTATTGTTATCAATGTCTGTCTTTATTCAAATTTTTAACTTGAAACTTGATAATTAATTTTCCCAGTACTCTTGAAGAGGACTAAACAGTTCACTGAAAAAAAAAACATTATAAAAGTGCAGTATCTCTGCAGTAATAAGCAAAAGACTATGAACTCTTTTCAGAGTATTTACAGCTCATTTAAGTTTACATAATGCACATCATTTTGATTCGAAAGCGATTAATCAATTGAAGAGCTTTAGTCGTAAGAAACTTATTTTAAAACAAATTCAATTTTTTTAAGACATCAAAAATCTTACCTATAAATGATTCACATAATTATTTAAATGAATATAGTCGTTTATCAATTAACTCTAATCGCCCATCGATCAGTTCGATGAAAGAATCAAATATGAAAAGCATATCATCGGAAACAAAAGATATTATTAATATTCCAGTTGAATCCATATCAATGAAACAAATAAATGAGCAGATCGTTGAACATCAACCTTCATTAGCTGAACAAAAATTAGAACATTTTCCATCGATTGGAAATCTTGAAACAGATAAACAAAAATTCTCGGAAATAGATTTTGAATTTATGTACAATTTGATTGATCAATCATACACAAAAATACCAAGTATATCATCAGAATAACTATTTTTCAAACTTTAAATTCTATTTAGTTATATACAATTCAATAAAACAAACAAAATTAGATACAGATTTTGTTTTATCAGTTAATAATTATTTAGATCGATTAAAATCAAATATATATAAAGATCTTATTCGACGTGAGACATTATTACGTAATGGAAAAAATCATACAAAAAATTTAATTTCACTTATTCGTTGTATATGTAAAATATCTTATGAACAAGCACTTGAAATTACAAATGATTCAATGACATCAAAACGTGCGATAGTTTATACAATGGCAGCTATTGATTATATTCTTCAAGGCAATTTTCCACAAAGTAGAAAAGTTTTTTTTTTTTCATTAATAATATAAAAACAAGAACTAATCGTCACTGAATTAATAGAAAAACCATTGTTTAATTATATTCTTAATGAATATATATCCATGTGGTTACATGAAAGTCTTCGAATCATTCAAGAAGATTTTAGTATTATTGTAGAAAATGGAACTAAAAAGAATTTTTTTTTACTTTGTATTTGTCTTTTTCATAAACTAGAGTCGATATGTGCAATTAATTGGGTAAATTATATTCAATATTTTATAATCAACTTAAATAAATATATTTTAGGAACGTTTACAAATGTTACAAAATTATCGTTTAACACATTTCAATCAATTAATGAAACCAATAAGTATTAATTTAGAAATAAATAAACATTTTCTTTTACTCTTTGGTAAACCTTTAATATCAACAATGAAAAAATCTCAATTACCTATAACATCATTATATTCTAATCGAACAGATAATGAAATAAATAATATCAATGAAATACAACAAATATTTAAAAATTCTATTGCAAAAATTCTTCTTGAACAATCTTATAGCTCAAAAACTAATTCCATTATCGAAGATGATAAATTACCATCATATCAATCACATTCACAACAAATAATAACACCAGTGAATATTTACGCTAAGTTTAGTAAACAAATCTTTTTTTTTTTTTTGTTATAAATAGACTATCGGAATAACATCATCGACATCAACAAAATTAATCAATGTAGATCTTAATTCAAAGAATAAAGAATTATCTCAGTCATCATCTATACTTAATGAAAATCGATCAATGATCGAAAAATATGAACAAGATCAAGTGAAACCTGCATTATCTATGCTTGATCAACAAGAAAATCCTAAATTGAATAGTATTCCTGACACCTACACACAATTTGTTGAACCTATATTATTACCGCGTCATCCATCATCAACATCTTCATCGACAAAACCATTTCTATTATCTTCATTATCAGATAAATTTGAACAACGACAAAGATTTTTGTCCTCTGAATCAAAATTAGTTTCTTTAGCACAGCAACAACTATTAACATCAATCGAATCGACACCCAAGCAAAGTATCTCATTGAATTATTATTTTTTTGTTAATCTAATAAAGAATGAATCTTCGTTTTCTGAATAGATCCATCACCTACATCCATTTCTATTCATGCTGATCAATCTTTTTCTCCAAGTAATAGTTCATTGTCTCATTCACAACCTTACACAAATACGATAAGTAATGCATCTACTCCAGTCAAACCTACTGAACAGATAAACAGTTCGAATGAATCAATACTTACATCTAAACTAATCAATCAAATCTCTGAATCATTATCGAATGGATCAACTTCACTAATGCTCATCAAATCGGAACATCAAAATAATGCAGAACAAATTCGAGATGTAAATGATACATCTTTAACTTTTTCATCTCCTAATAAACCATTTAAAAATGATCATATCTCATCTTCAGTACATCAATCTTTTTCTAATAAAAGTATAACAATGAATTCGAAAGCGATATTAGATACAGAAGTTGTAAGAATCAAATAACACAAAAAAAATATTCATGTCTATTTTTTTTCTAAAAATTCTTTATAGAATGAACTAATTAACTTCTTGCAAGAATTCGCTTGTTCTTCATTATCAACTCAACAAGAAAACAAAACATCACCATTATTAAAACTTGTAAATTTAAAAAAGAAGAATATAATATTCATTGAAAATTTTTTACTCTTTTTTTGGTTCAGCTCGAATCTTGTTTAAAACAAAGTACTACTGATCCGAAGTCAATCATTGAACAAGTACAAAATATTCATCCTCAATTATCTCTTAGTGTAAAAGATCCATTATTTCTTGCTGCATTTACACGTGTTTTACGTAAAGAACTTCGAGATGCAGAAATTCTAAGAAAAATAGATTATAAACAATTAAATGAAGATTCACAAAATATTGATCATTTATCATTTGAAACAAGCAATATACTTAAATTACCAAATATTGATGTATTTCTAAAAAATAAAAATACTCCTGCTGGAGATAATATTGATCAAAGTCGTGTTTTTATTGAAGTTACACATGATCCATCAAAATGTACAACAAATACTGAATTTTCTGATTATCAATATTATTCATGTTCACAACTATCACAACAACATCAACGATGCAATGATTATAGTAAATTTGGTGATTAAAAATGATATCTAAATAAGATTGTATACTTTTAAATTAGGTTCACCCGAATCAATGAAACCTAAATCAAAAAATACAATATTATCTTCGACTGAATCTAATAATCAACAATCATTACCATCATTAGAATCGACTTGTCCTCTACAACGATGGTATTGGATGTATTCAAATAAATCTTCTTCATGCAAAGATTGTATTATAACACCTAATTCATTATATTGTGAACGAAATTCAATTGATAGAAGCACTTATGCAATTACTGTTGAACATAATGAAGAATTTCTATAGATGCATTATCATTAATTCTTTTAGATATGTAAAGAAAAGTTCTTTATGGTTACAAATTGTATCTAGAACATACGTTTTACATTGTTCTATAGTTTACATGTTAAATGAATTATCTTCACTCTGCTGTATTTTAATATTATCTTATTCTTATTGTTGATCTAATGATTTTCAAATATTCTCTTACATCATTATTTATATTATGTTGCTTTTAAATCTTTGATTGTGCATCAACGTCATAAATAATATATCTAACAACTCGCTCTTTTTACCGTATATCAATACATTTCATCATCATTTTTCTTAAATGTTTCTAATTTTTCTATATTCTAATTTCGTTCTTTCTTTTAGTAATCGGCATGATTCTTATTTAGTTATCTCTCTTATAAAAGAACTTATGTCAGAATAATAACCAGTAACAGTAAATGGCCGATCCGATGCGGCAGAAAACTTTAACAGACGATATATTTTGTGTTCTAGTTTTTGGATGCTTGTTTTTATAAATCAGTCATAGAGGTGTTTTTTCCCTCGATTAAACCATTTTTCATAATCTCAAGGACAATTTTTATGAAGGAGCACATTTTAGAAGATTTCTAGTGAGTGAATATTCATCAAAGTACGCTTATTATATTTTATCAACTCATTTCTATGTCCAGTTGTATTATCAACACACTATAAAATCATTGATCATCGTTGTAATTTATCATTTATTTATTTTCATTTCGTATTATTTCTAACATATCTTTTGAAGAAACATAAGAGATAACAAAATATATCTATTGTGAGAAGCACAGTACATATATGCAAGTGACTCATAATTTGTACGTCTGATGAATATTTAACTAGTTTACAAAGCTAATATAAAATTTGTGCTCTTATAACATTCTCTGGCCATCGATAGATATCAAGAAAGAAGAACCGTATGAAAACAAATAGTGAAAAAGAAGTTTGCAACGCAATCCTTACGGAATTAAAATATAAAACATGATGAATCTACTTTAACCATTTAGGAAAACATGATCATCTACATAACAGACCATGATACGACCAAAAACTAGCATGTCAGAAAATCCACTGCATCGTTACAGATCGTGGCAGACTTATGGCCATCTCTATCACAATCTGTCAGTATGATTAACATGAAATAGGAGTTTTGTGTATTTTCTGCAGTGATTTAGAGATAGATATGATTAATCGAGTGATTGGTTTGGCTCTTTTGGGATGAGAATAGCGAAAAAAAAACTCATGTCGGTCGAAGGGTCGATATTTGTATTATTTATTGCTGAAGATTTGTTTATTCTTTCAAAACCAAAACGATTTAGTTTTATGAGCATATGTTTATTATTATATTTATAATCATCAAGAAAAGGTGAAAGTTAAAGAAAAAAAAGACTATGAGCAAAACCACTGGGTATACCTGAAAAGAAATGTCGAAAATACATTATTTTTCGTATGGAAATAAAATGGATAAAAACTTCAGGAATCTCCATTCCATAAGTCAGATAATCTGGTGTTCGATTCTGTTTTGACTTTCATTATCCATAATAATGTGAACTTTTATCATCTCGAATATTGATAAACATATTTAACTTTTTATGAGAATTTTTCGCTAATTCAAGAATATCCGAGTAGTTCGTATGTTTAAGAAGTTTGAAATCAAAAATATCTGAAAAGACTAATTTAATAGTATATTTTATTTTATTTTTCTGTATATACTATTAATAAATGCTCCTGATTAATTATCAAATAATGCTTGTAGAATAAAAAGATCAATAAGATTAAATTTTTTTTTATATGAAGCAAGGTCAGTTAACAACTGACTACAGAAAGCTCTACTATTACTAACGTTTTTAGCAACTACATTCATGTAATGTATCTCATTTCATCGAAGTTTAATAATGCTAATGAAACCGAATTAAACTTTCTATTACTAATGGTAGCACTAATGGATGTTAATTAAAATCAAATAATTCAGTGCTATGGTATTGTTGTTCGGTGAACGAGTGTATAAAGAATGAAATGAAATAAGATGATTGAAATCAAGCAAAACAAATAATCATATACAGACAAAGATATGTTAAATAGTTGATTTAGAAAAAAGACTTCAATTAAATTTATTCAAAAGTAATATAGTACTTATTAGGAGTTCTTTTTTTTTATCGAATTATTATTGAAATTTTTTTTGAATTTTCTCTTTTATATTTCATATTACAAAAAAAGTGAAGATTTAGTTCTCATGATACAGTAACATTCGAGTATTATAAAAGAAATCTTATGTAATATATTATTGTTCGAAGTAGACATCTATATACATTATTCTTACTAAAATGTTATCAATGGTTGATATAGAACCATTGACTAGCAAAGGATTTTTACTCAACTGATATTATATATATAAATATAGATATATCTATATATGTTAGTTGAAGGACAGTGACGTAATTAGGATAGAGTACTGAGTGCGATCACCTCTATTTTCCAACAATTTTCTTAGTAGAAAAAATCTAACAACGAGTCAATACTACCTCTAGTGGCCTTCAAAATAAATTATTTCATCATGATCGTCTCCATTTGTCGGTGAAGTGGCTCGATTTACCAAATATTTACATTCACCACTGTGTAAGCAATCAAACAAACATATATTTATATAGATTTCTTCCATAAAGAAACCTATTACCATAAAATAGATAACCTTGAAATTTTCTTTTAAAATATAACTATATTTAGTATTTATATATAGCATCATTATTACATCATATTTTTTATTCGAACAAACATGTATTGAGTGTGTTTCCCCTAACAACTGAAAGCCCATAAGAAAAAAACTTTATATATGAAACTTGCGAACGTTTTCTTTTCTTTTCTATTTCAATTTTTTTCTCTTCTCTTTGCCTTTAGCGTGTCAGGCTTCATTTGTCATACATTGCATAGTGATCAAACGCACATGTTATCGTACGTCGATGTGAGAGAGAAAGACGCGTATTTATAATAACGAATGGTGAGATGAAATTATAGAATACACAAAACCTGTAAACTTAATACATTTCTTCTGATATTGTTTTTCGGTTTTGTTGCCATTAAATGCAATAAATATTGGTTTTAACTGGATATTGTATCACTTCTTTATCGAATAATATTAACGAATTAGTTAGTAAAAATTCTGTATATATTTTTTGATATTTATCTTGATCCTACTAGTATCATTGCTGTCAAAGTATTGTTTTTGTGATCTCTCTAACTCGACACCGAGCATACGAGATCACTTGACAAGAGAAGATGATTTTGCTGTACCTGGTCCAGATCGAGTAAGATAATCTCACCGTTTATTTCTATACATGAACATAGTTCTTTTTCTACTGTATTAAGCCTAAACCCATTTATAATACAGATTGGCGTCAAATGCCGTCAATTCCACCTCGTCGAGGAAAACATTACAACAATGTAAAAGGTTTGAATAATTGAATAATCGAGAAAAATATATAATTGAATTTTATCTAGTTGGACCTCCTATAACAGCATCTGTTTATCCACCGACAATTTGTTTCGGTCGTTTATTAAAAAAAATATGGGGTGCAAATCCTATTTGGGAAATTTCTCAATCATCTATTGATGTAAATGATTATTTGCCCATTTGTTTATATCCTTCTCCACTTCCAACCTTAACTGATCATATAAAACATCAAACTCTTTGTGCTAGACCAATAATTTGGATTGTACGAAGATCTCAAGTACAATCTCATCCTATCTATCGATCAGCTGATAAAAAACGATTAATTGATGAACTTCCAACAGATCAAAAATACAATTTTACTTTAATTGGAGACGGTCGTCTTGCATTTGCTCGAATTCCACATACGAAATTCAAGTATCCTTATCGATTATTGAGTAAACATATTGCTCTTGCTAAACACTCTTCTAATGTACGATTTGCTGGTGAAATGAGAAAAGCTGATAATGGTGAAACATTGCTTATTAATAATAATTCAGGTACTTATAGACCTGATGATAAAATGGTTCCATCAGCTGTTGCCTATTTTCAACGTCTCTTTCCTCATTTACTTGTACGTGGAATACCAAGAAATTAATACATCACATATATTCTTTATTTTCTTTTTCTTTACTAAAAATGTCACTTCATTTGAAATAGTTTAATGTACAGCTTTCTCATCTAGTTAATCTTATATTCTTCGATGAAATTCTACTTTTGCTCTTCATATAGGCTTATACAATAAAAATTTGATAATTTTATATATACGTTGTTTATCATGAATAAGTATTACGCTTTACTAATTATTTTGTTTTGAAGAAAAACTAAGACTGTAAACGCCATTTTCATAGTTTTTATCATTTATGAACTGGTAAAATACTAGCATTGTCACATTTGAGTTGCATAAGATGACAGAAAAATAGTTAAAGTTCTCTTCTAATAAACTAGCAGATAGATATTTAAAAACTGAAAACAGACTAGCTATTTACATGTTATATTTCAATAAACTGATCAAGAGTTATTTATTAAATAAGATCGTTACAGGATTATTTTCACAATTAAGAATATGTCAAAGTGTTCTTGCGTATCACTTGCTATTTACCCATTACAAAGAATCCAACCTTGATTTTGACATATATTCTATTACTTTTTCTTTTCTACGAAATAATAAAAAATTAGTTCAAAAGAAAGTTTCCGATCGAAGCGAACTATGATTTAGAATTTCGAATATTCAATCAGTATTAATAGAAAAAAATTACTGAGGATATTGTTTCCGAAGCAAAATAAAAATTTCATCAGCTGATGAATTGAATTATCCCGGGTACTTAGCACATAGATACGACACTTTTATATAAGCATATAGTCTTTATAAATTAAACTATCAATACTAATAGAATACCACACATCTACGCTTACTTTCTCTCGTTCTAACTTCAATTAAACATTTGATTAAATGCGTAGCTACAGACGTATGAAAGAAGTCAAATAGCGAGACAATGAAAAAATTTTCTATTGAGAAAAAATGCATTGATATGGATGGTCTATAACTGTCTCCATTCGTTCATAAATCATAGCTTCATTCTACAGCTTTACTTAATAAAAAGAAAAGCATTAAAAAAGAGCTTTTTTATTACTAGTCATTTATCACAATAGATTTTTAAACGATTATTTCCATTAATTAACTAAGTAAGTAACAATGGATTTATTAGAAACGAATAATGATCAATGATTTTTACTAAGCAATAAGAAAAATTGCATTTGTTTTGGCATTTTTTACGAAATCAGTGTATTCTCGTATATCGACAAATGTCTAAATGTCATTTACTATTCTACGCAGTATTTTTGAATATGTTAGATATAATACTTTCATTATTTTCTCTCTACAATATATTATCAATAAGCAGGATAAAAACAAAGTTTCCATGCTTTATCATTGATTTAATGTTAAGAATGTTTGAATGACAATTTTAAGAATACTCACAACCCTTAGACATTATCTATGTAAAGAATCCGTTAAATTAAATACTGTGTATGCTTGTAAATTTTCGTGTCTCAAAATCGATACAGAATTTGATTATCCAGTTAAAGATTACACTCTTAGCTTACATTTGACATTATTTGAGAAAAACACTATCCGCGATTTTTCGAAACCTACTAACCATTGAATAATACTGATTTCAGACATGTCACTTTGTTGACTGACTCTCTTTGATATCTATTGCTTATAGGTTATCAAAATTAGTGACATTAGTTCAATATTTTTCTTCACTCATTCTTTTTATACGTACAATACTTGTTTAAATCAATTGTAGCATTCATTATCGACCATTAGCAAACCAAGTGTACACTGGATGGAAGTTTTATCTGATAGTTGACATTTGATATTGACTAATCTTTTAATCTTCTAGCAAATTTTAGCGAAGTTTGGATTAAATTTGAAATTTGTAAAAAGTTTTAATGTTAAGATTTTTCTTTTCATATTATCAGTTGTTACGAATGACGCCAATGTATCAATGATCGAGTCATGATAAGAAGTAATTGATATTGTTAATTATTTATTTTGCATGATGAGAAAAAGAGAATAATCAATTAACTTTGATCTCTATCATTCAAAGAGAATTTCAGAACTATAGTGGAAATATAAAAGTTTGGATATAATTCCCATATAATAACTAACGAGTATATGTCTACAGTGTAAAAAATGTTTCTATAAATTCATTACAACTATTTAAAAAAGATTATACATCCAAAATATAGCCGTGCTGTTCATATTATATTCCAGATTTATTCATATGTATATATGTAAAATCAACCTAATAATTGAGAACAAGTACTTTAGTAAAAAGGAAATGTAAATCAAATAGTTTTCAACAATCAATAGACTATCTGTAGTAAATTAAAACCAACAGAAATTACAATTACAAAATTTTGTTTGACAAACTATTTATTGATTTTTTAAATATAAAGAGTGTTCTATAATGATTATTGACAATTTGTCAATGACACTTTTCTTACTTTATCATGACATAGAAGGGTAAGATTTTTACTATATATATCAAATCAAGATCTTTTATTTTTCAAAATTTCAGCTTTCTAGTTTAAAATAATCCAGAGATGCATGAGTAACATTAAAATACATGAATTTTTGTATTTTATTTTAGTAATATATTTATTTAATCATTAGTGATATTTATAAACATTTCATGAAAAGAAATTTTACAAAATAATTCTTTTACAAAAATGTAAATTATAATGAAATTCAATGTTTATAAGCCTACTCTATATTGCTTTCTATGTAAAGCTGTATTCTTTCGAAGCTTTTCTTTATTGGTTTGAAATTTATTTTTCTACTTTCATTAAGATCAACAATTGCGGGTCGTTTGTGTCCGCAAAATTTAGAAAAATGATAACAATTTGAAAGTAGGAATTCGATGATCGAATTTGACAACCGACTCAGCTTGGTTACGGTCGATTACAGCTGGAACTAGAGAAAACGGGTGACTGGCTTCTAGCATCCTTCTAGTGAGAACCCGAAGAAATCATTTGCCTAGGTAACACAATATATGAAAAACCTTTTTCATATTCATAATTGATGGACATTTAAAAAATTTTCATTAAATCTGAGAGGTTCTAGATACTAATCAATATTTTTATAATTTAAAAAACTTGGCTACTATGTCGTGATTGACTAAGTTCAAAACCCAGTACAAAAATTCGGATTCTATATCAAAAAAAAAATTATGAAATATGTCGTTAATAGTTTATCATCAGTTATTATGAAACATCCTCTATATAAAAGTGTTTCAATTATTCAAATACACATTAACATCTGTTCGATTAATTTTTCTTACATTGAGATACTTTCGAATTCCAATCTGTTATAACTTTACTGTTGTCAAATAAGTAACATGCATAGTTTCAAAAAAATTTCAATAGATATAATTCAGATATTCTATATTTTGACTGAGAGATGGTCTATCAACTACTTGAAGATTATGTGTGCTAATTGCATTAGAATAGGTTAAAAAGTTCGGCAGGAGGGTTGGACAAATCTAAGTCATGACTAAGACTCGAAAATTAGGTAACGTTGACTCGACTGTTTGATTCGAGTTATATTCGAATCATTTATTTGCAAAAATTTTCATTTGTTTTTATTAAAAAGAATCACAATTTTTAAAATTAAATTGTCACTTGTTCATAACTTTTAGACCTGTTAAATATATATGGCGTTCGCATTATTTTTTCGCAGTTTTTCGAGACCTGTATTATGGTATGGTCGTAAATATTAGCCACCTCCTCGTATTACTAAAAATGTGTCTTATTTTTTTGGTTGATCTTTGAAAAATGTGTACATATATGTAATGAAAAAAACTAAAGCTTTGCATAGCATGACGCGTCATATTTTTTATCATATTGTGATATAGTTATGAAGTGACAGTATTGATCATTACAAAAAGATAATGTTGATCATCAAATGTTTTCGTCACTCATTTCACTTTATTTATCTCTTAACAAAGCAAGTTTTGCAATGATTAATATTTGTATTTTAGCATTTTTATTTGCTCTAAGACATCAATTTAATGATAAAAAATAGATTGTGCTTATAAAAGAATTTTGGTTCGGCCTTTTTTTTTTAATGAAAAAAGTGAAATTTTTTTCACTATAATGTGGAATTGTATAAAAAAGAATAGTTGGCTTTACTTCTATTATTTTGTTGATTAATCTAAAATAGTTGCAGCATTTTATTTTATGTATAATATCTTAGTTCCGTTTTCGTGTATAAAAACTAGGAACTATATATCGTGTAATGAAGAACCTATGGTTGACTGTCTTTATAAAAAAAAGGAGAACGAAAAAAACTGGGCAAAAGTGACTTGTCTTGAGAAATCGCTTGACTCGCCTGTCCTTGTACTGCATTAAATGAGTTGTTTCTATAAGCAATGGAATAGGTTCTATTAGCATCAAGTTTTTCTTTATAAGTGATGACATATACAGGCAATATTTGTCGATTCGAATATACAACATATGTATTTGATGTATCTGTTGTTGAATCATATCCAATTGGACATATTCTCATGGTTCGATTACCTAGACGCGTTCGACCAACAAGTACTCGACATAGAAGCATAGTTCTTTCATTATCATTGAACTGCTCTAAAGTTGTATAAATATGACTAACTCGATGATCGGAAGAAAAATAGAATCCATAGCCATATGTTACGCCTAAAATAATTCGTTTAAAGAGTAATTTCTTTCCGACTCAAATATATTACCATGCATGCCGATAAGTTTATGATCAAAACCGTGTTGAATAATTTTTTCGGCAGCTGAACATGAACATCCATGAAAGAGATACTGTTCACTTTGATCATGACCAAGTCGAGCATCGATAAGTTTTTTCTGTTCAAGATATTGTACGAGCCATGTTGCATTTTCAACTTTATCAATACGAATGATCTGCATAAACGAATTTTCAAACTCTCTAGTTATTCTTTCTATAATAGGTGAATATTCAGTATTTAGCTCCAAGACACGTGCTGGCATCGACTGATTTTCATTTGAGATAATATGAGTATGGCAAATTTTCGAATGTGAAAGTTCGGCTCGATGATCGAATTTTTTGCGTGTTTCTAAAAGAACAGCATATGTTTCTTCATTCGACATAGTACCTTGGATTACAGATACAACATCAATTTGACCTTGATGAACAGAAAGACAGACAAGCAATGGATATGCATCAACTGGATACGAAGCTATTGTCATTGTCACTTCTTTAGTTGTATATTTAAATAACATTGACAATAACCTAAAAATTAAAGTTTGGTTATCTTTGTTTTCATAGAATGATTGTGTTGTTCATAGAATTTGTCAGATAGATATGAAATCGATAGTAAAATATATCAATTGTCATGTAAAATTATGTTGCTATTTGTATTTAAAAAATATTACTCACATAGAATAATCGGCGTCTTGTGTTCGATCCCATATCCAAACTAGAAATTGTTCAGCTAAATAATCAGTAATCATGTTAATACATAAGACATATCGACAGAAAATATTCGCAGCAATACTGTGATCATGATGTATGTAGAGAACGAGTGGACAAGGCTATAAGCAAAACGGCATTATTCATTGTTTTTTTTAGGTATTTAAGAAGAAAAGATAATTTACAGTTGTGGGTTCAAATAAAGAATGATTCAGAGCTTCGTCGAGTGAACCGATGAATGGTATTGGCCCTGGTTCTGGATATCGTTCGCTAAATGTGTATAAAAAGCGCTCCATCCTTGTTCGCACTTCATCAGCTAAGGGAATTTCATTTGCATCTAATTGTAGAAATAAATTCGTTTATTTCTATCACAATATTTGTGTATATTCGATAAAAAATCAATATTGAACAATCATTGAACGAAAAATTCAGAAAATATCCATCTTCCCTTTTCAAGTATCATCAAGTTTCTCTTATTAAATCATACATTCAAATTTTTTCTTCAATAAAATAATCTTTAGAAATTTCAAAGAAGTTCTATTAAATTTAAATTCTTTATCTGATACGAACAAAATAAAAGACTTCGTACTCTGTTTGTTTTTTATTTTCAAACTATTTATAAAATGGCTGCCTTTTTCTGACTATAACGACATGTGACGTTTATTCGTCAAGATTTCCATGCTGTTTAAAACAAAAAACTTTTCACGAAATCGATTAAAAACAATCTTTCTTCACAATATTTCTATGATGAAATAGCATAAAACAGAATGAAACCATTCGATTGACAAAAAACAACCATTCTTCTTCATATTATCTCAAAAACAAACACAATATGATTCATAACTTACTCAAACTTTGAACATCTATGATGGACATTTTATCAGTCACTACAAATTATGTAGATTGCCATTATTTGAAATCATAAATATCTAGTATTGACTTACTTTTGTATCAGTGAATTTAATTGAATTACTTTCATAAAGTCGAATTTTTATGTGCTGTTTCGAAGTTTTCCTGTCCTCTTCAATAGTATCTGATAGCGATAATGTCTTCATCATTTTTAAATTCTATGACGACATTACTGGAAAATTCCAACTTGGCTTTTTTTTCTGAGTACGACTCACTACCGATTGAAACGTTATGGTAGGAAGGAATTTGACAGAAAATGAAAAGAAAGTTTTCGTTTGTCACGAAAACAGTCAATCGAATTCAGTGGGTTTTTTTTGTGTAAACAGTGGTATCTTCACTCCACTACCTTTGTTGTTCTCTTTCTTTCCGCCCCAGGATTATTTCTCTCGTTTTCTTTGTTGGAATTTTTCTTTTGTTGCTTTCACATATATAAGATTTTCTTTTTTCGTAATTCGTCCTTTATGGAATTTTCCAACTCATGGATCTTTTCCTTCGTTGTTCCTATATATATATATAGTTGTCATTGGATTTAAAGAGAGAGAGAAGGAAGAAGAGTGAAAGTTAGATCTAACATGTCGCTCTAGGAAACAAAAAATTATCTTTCAATATTCATATGACATTCGTTACATCTACTGATTATTAAAATTTAAAAGGAGAAGATATTAGAAATTTCCAAATAAACAGTAAACTTTTTCTTTACAGTTATGTTTTTTTCGATAGTCTTTATATTGTTCTTAAAGACTTCAGTGAGATATTAAAAAAAACTCCAAAGGATCAATCAACTTATGTCTTCTGTCCGAAATAAATCGAATGGAAGTATTTCGATCTAAGAGGCTTAACGGAAATATGAAAGTCGCTAAAAACAAAAACAAGAAAATTTAAGCATCCTGTGTAGAATGGGCGTGATGTTTGGGACTTTCATATCCCGAGAAAGAATCTCCAATCAAAATACCACCATTCCGTTTGTTGATTTATACAATCCCAAAGGCTAAACTTCTAGTAACATGCTTATAACTCTGAATATAACATCTGACGGGATTAATTTGTTGAAGTCTTTTCATATGTAAATTGAAGTCTGCCTTATGCACAGAGTGTGATTTCAAAAGTAATTGGTTGGTTGAAACCATTTTCCTCATCAATATATGATAGTATACGTATATGCTTGAGCACTTGAGCAAAAGAAAGTTTTCTTATCTACTTGTTTTCAAACATCTTTTGGGTTTTGGTTGATTGCATACATGGAATTTATATTACATGAATGATACTGTGCATTTTCGATTATTAAATAGTATAATATCTGTTGATTCGTGTACCTTTTTTTTGTGATCGTTCACATAAGCACACGATCTTCTATTTATCAATTATGGATTTTTAAAATGATTATATTGAGAATGATATCAAAGAATCGGTAAAAAAAAAGAATCATGTCAATATTGACTCTGCTTTATGATGCGTCATTTCCTCTCTGTCAAAAAGAATCCTGTCTGATCTCATTACTTTTACTCGATGTCTTTTTTACTCTTGCCAGCATTCAATTGTGTTTTTTTTTTATCTTCCTGTTTACTTCGCATACATTTACCTGAGATTATATTATGATATCAATTGCAGATACACTTACTCTTCCTCATACGCTGTGTATTATCAACAGTTAATGTATTTACCAATTTAAGTAACATTATATTGATTACAATTTTGTTACTAAAAATAACATCTAGTAAATTTACATTTGATCTATTTTTTTAAAGCATCTGTTTTTGATTTGATTATCATTAAGTGACCTATAATCTTTTTTCTTTATGCACTCAATCATATCGATTCTTTTAGAACATCGTTGATCATGAACGTAATCCGTCGTTATCTCATACACATGTTTTTGATGTATTTTTGATACATAATTGCTCTAGCATGTAGTAATCGCTATGAGGTGTAAAGTGCACAAATTTCTATTAGAAATTTTTGTCTATCCAGAATCACTTGTTATTCAATTGCAGTTATTGAAATCATTTAGTTCATAGCGAGTATTCATCTACTAATCTTTAAGAGTAGTGAAAATAGTTAATATTGTGTCAATAGATTATACGGATATATATATATATAAGTAATTATTTATAATTTTGTTTGCTTTTGAATAATTTCAAGGTTATTTTTGATATTATTCTTATAATTAAACTATAGTAATTATGATCGTGTGTTCAATTAATTCATAATTATTTACACATCAGACGAGTAGCCTTCAAATTAAAGAAGGATCACATTAACTGAATTAATGATGAATGTCTTATGCATATTCATAGATCAATTAATGACCTTCTATATTTGATCAAAACAAAAGAAAAACAATATTACATCAAACAAAACTTCTCAACAACGAAAAAATTCAATTGCGTGTACATTTTATAAGAACATCCATTTTCCACCTATCGAAAATTAAAAATAAAAGATTATTGAATAAAAACAAAATACAAGGAATCAAACTAATTTTAAAATAAACATCATGATTCGATATGATACAACTAATATTACTGATACTTTACTCAAACTAACATACGACATTCTATCTATTATATTGTGTCAAACTCATTTTAACATTCAATTAATCAATGGATAATTACATGTGGTGTACAGCATTTAAAGATGACATCAGACATAATAGACAAGATTACAATAAATAAAATAATAATAAAATCAATTTGAAAAATTATTTTGAAAGACAAATAAATATTGTATTTGTTATCGTTTTTTCGAATAAAAACTACTGTAATTGTTCATAAGTTAATAAATAAAATCTTTTCTAAATCTGCAATCAGATCGACACAATTGACATGTAATCATATATGACAATCACTAGAAAATCGAATGATAGTCTTCTACTTTCATAAAAAAAAAATGTTCTTATTTTTAACAGATTATGACATCTTCAAATATCGTAATTTGATTATCAAAGTAGCACATAATAAAATATTTACTATACCTTCTGCGAAATTATTGTAATTTATAATTATGACACATGTCATTTTTACATTGTCAATAGAAAGAAAAACGTACGATTGATTGACTTTTCTCTTTTTTTTTTTGTTTTTGATCATGAGATTTTAAGTCATATGATGAATTTTGATACAAAAGAAAAAATAGTTTAATTAAATTCTCATTATTCTTTTCACATGATCAATCTAAATGATATTTAATGTGTTTATTAAATATAAAATGTTTTTTTCTTTGTATTCGAACATATATAGAATTTTTTGATATAAAAATAGTACTTGACATCATAAACAATCTCAGTAATTTCCATTAACTAAAATAAAAAAAAAAAGCGATCTTCCGATAAAATACATCTATTAGGAGGATTTAATAAACTATTCGATGTTTGACATAGCTACATTATTAGATGATGACAAAACTATCACAATAATCAAGTTCAATAAAAATAACATATATGTAAAATATGTCAAAATTATAAGTAAATCAATATCAAATTTCCTATCCGATATTTACTCACCATGTTCATGTCCGAAAACATTTATCATATTATTATGAGTTATTTTCAGTAGATAAACAAAATAAATACTATTCTACAGAATACATGAAATAGCTTGTTTAACATCTTCCTTTTTTTTCCATCTCATATAATATAAATGAGTGAAAAAAAAATGCCAAAAAAAAAAAAAAAGAAACTTTTAAAATCTATTACATACTTTAACACTCAAATGACATTTAATAAGCATGAAAAGCAAAAGAAAGAAAAGAATATATAATGAAAAAAGGAAAGAAGGTAGTGCTATACTATATATATGAGTAAAAAACAAACAAACTAAAAGAAGAATACATGACAAGGACAAAAGCAGAAAAGAAAAGCAGTATAATGATTGTTAGCATTCTTCAATATGAAGACATGACATTTGACTATATAATTTCAAATTTAAATATCTTCTGATCTTGATGTTATAGCAAGCCAAAATGACAATATTGTAATAAAAAAAATTAATACCGATGCAATTATTTCATAACCAGTTGCCCATCCAATTGTTGTATGAAAATGTGTATTTGCATCATTAATTAATTCATTTTCAGCTTTAAGATAAAGATCATGACTAACTGTTGTTTCTAAGAAAGAGAAAATATTAAAATATTAAAAATTTTATTTTCAATTATTTTACCATGATGTTTAGCATAATTACGAAGACTATGTAAATCAAAATTTTGTAATGCTCGACTATCATTTGTTATACTTTCTAATGGAAATGAATAATCTTCATATGTATCTCGTCGAAGATCTTTATGTTATTATACAAAAAAAAAACAAAGAAGAATAAATAATATTGAATTATTCTTAATTACTTACATGCACCAACAAGAATTAAACCAGTTATCATTAAAATTAATGTTAATAGAAAACATATAAATGGTCCATAACTAAGTACAAGAAGTGCACTATCTAGAAAATAAATAATAAAGAAAAAAAGAAAACTATAATTATAAATTAAAATATACGAACCATTTTGTGGTGATGCTATAGTTTTTAAATAAAGTAAAAGTAAACCAAGAATAAGAAAAATAGCTGCTAAAATTGTTAACCATTGTAAACCTTTAGTTGACGGTAAATAATGGCATGAACATCCTTCAGATAAATTTTTTGTTTCACTAACTGGACAGTCTCGACGTTGATGATAACATATGTCAAATTTATCCGGTGAATATCTCATATAACGATTTGGCCAACATATTTGAACATTTGGTCGAGTACCAATTGAAATTCCTTGTTTCGTTAGTGGAATATCTGAATATTCACATCGTTGCCATAAACCATAACTAACGGGTGCCATTTTTGGTGGAACGTCTCGTTTTGTTACTTTCCAATGAGGTGAACACCTTAAGTTTTTTTTTTAAATAATAATAAAAAACAACTTTAAATATTACAATCATACTTACATAGCTAATAAATGAAGAATTAAAGCAGCTATGCCCAAAGATAGAGCTATTGTAACAAGTAAAACACTTCGAATTCGCATTATCTATTTATTTGAAAAAAGATTATAAAAAAATAGAATAGTTTGAAATTCTTTTATTTTCTTTCTCTATTTATTTAGAATAGAATATATATGTCGTTCTAGCTGACTTGAAGTTTAAGGATTGAATTACGCATTTGATCTATCAGATAACTTACAGAATACGACATACTAAAAGATGCCAATTTTATATAAAAATTAATACTAATAGTTTATAATTTAATTAAATCAAAATCCATATAAATATATTATTTTATTGTTTTAAAGTCAAATTATTTTTCTTCTTACATCAATCATTAAATCTGTCATCGAAACAAACATGTGAACAATTGATATTCTCATTCGTACAAACAAAAAAAAAAGAAAAGAATTATTTGTTCTAAATAAGTTATAAAAAAAAAACATGACACTCAACAAAAAACAAAATAACTAAGTATTGATATTTTTTTTTTTCATACGTAAATATAATTGATAGACAAAACAAAATAGATAAATCAAATGCATATTATAATAATTAAAATATAATTTACTTACTTAATCAATTCACTCGTAATAGTAAAGAAAGCAAAATTGTGATTGCAAAAAAAAGAAAACAACAATAAACCAATCTAAAAAAAGAAGAAAGAAGTCTGATTAGAATGTAAAATATTGCTGTTATACGTTCATAATATGCATTTACACATGTATTCATCGGTTACGTTGTTGCTAAAGAAGTATTTCTTATTTATTGAAGATATAAAATGAATCAAATCTCGTTGTACTATTCTCATATTTTTTTTTTCTTCGAGCTGTTCGTGAGCACACACATCGTTATCGTCTCAAAAATGATACCAACTAAATCAATGAAACCGACGGATCAGAATGGCTTATCGTTATCGTCATTGTCTCCCATAACGTCCATTGTTCCATTACTGTTTTCATCTCTCTCTCTCTCTCCTGTGATCCACTCTCGCTTTTATTATCGAATTGTATGCACAATCTCTCAACATCATCACGCCTACAAATAAACAATTGATATGAAAAAAAAAAACGATAGACAATAAAAATAAAAAAACACTTATTATTTCACATTTGTCATTAGTTTTCTTCATCTACTTCTTTCTTTTATGATAATTAAGTTTATAAAAATGAAAAAAAATAAATAAAAAATAAATATCTAACAAATACATGAACTATTAATTCATCTTTTATTTTCTTCATTCAAGTTCACAGAAAGAGAGAAACTTAATAGATAAAGAGAAGTAATATACTGAAGGGAATACGAACGAGCGAACGAATGTACGTATTAAACATAGGAAGAGTCTATAGGTTGCTGCTGTACATGCCTATGCGCAAACATACCAAGGCCAATTAATGATGTGAGAGAAAAAGAAACATAGAAGCAAGAGGGAAATGCGATGGTGGATTGATGCCAAAAAGAAAAATGCATTAAGGAAAAATGACGAGAAAAGAAAAGAAAAGAAAAGAAAAAAAAAGAAGAGCCGAAGAGAAACAGAGAGTTCTCGCTGTCTAGCATCTCATTGCAATAACCACAATTGTCAGTCTTTCGTTATCTTTTTCTTTAGAGAGACAAGGCAACCGTTACCATCAACATTAAATAGAAGGCAAAGAGAGGAAAAGTGAGAGCGAGCATTGAAAATGTTTCTTGCCTATACAATAAATAAGCACAAAACAGATGATGAAACATGTACTAGCACTAAGCATTTATTATTATTAACAGCATAATATAATAAAATAAAAAAAAAAAAAGAATAGAAGGGCCTATTGTGAATAAGTCATTGTGGAGACTAAGATAAACGATCTATAATATTGATCGCTTTAAGATTACAAATGATGAAAGATTATCTCGAGTATATTTATGAAACGTCTATTTTCTCGAACTATGACAAGAACAATAATCCAGATATGTATGAGTGTGTGTGTTACTAATATGAATACAATAGCAACAAATTTTCATGTATATAGTCCAATCAATGAAAAGAAAGGAAATTTTTATGGATTTATTAGAAAACCTTTGTACATGAAAATCAAAATAAAAAAAAAAAAAAACTTTGAATCTCTAAATGTTCTTTTGACTGATATTAACTAATTTAATGTATTTGAAAAAAGAAATACTTTCTATGTTGATAATTTTATATCGTGATTCAATGATAAATAAATATCAATAACTATTATTATAATTTATCGTTATCAATAATACGATATGACATAATGCAATAGTTTCAAACGTTTTATAATAATTTCCGGTTTGATCTAAGAATCAATTAAAAAAAAAACAGTACAAATAATTTAGAAGTGAATGTTAACAAATAATAACATAGAAAATCAGACATCATTGAATATAGCCAGCGGGTTAACAACAGTATTTATTGTTGCCATAACCATCTTTAACTAATACATATTGAGAACATTGACATTCTTTTAGCTGGTGTTTCACCATGAATGTAATAATATATTGTGGTTGATATTTTCTTAAGAGAAAAGCTAACTTTTTCAGTTTTACTCGATTGTAAAGCACTGTGTGACAATAACCGTGGATAATGATACCGGAAATATACTTTTTCCTCCAGAAAATATCATTTAACATGTTCTTTTACTTTCATGATAGAATACTTGCTAGAGGAATGCCAGAATAATTGTTATAGCGTAAATCTAATTAAGTATAAACAATTTTCAACATATTACATCTATAAAGTATTTTTTACTTTATTAATAAACTTTTTTTTTTTTTTTTTTTAAATAATATTATTACGTGTATCAATTTCTCGTATGAAAATATGTTTGAAGTAACAAATGATGTTTTTTTTTTTTTTATTATTTTGTTTTTTGAATATTAAGATTATGTCTATAAATTATAATAATTAAGTTATTCATTAAACCCTTGAGGTATATGTCATATAGCAATAATCAATGATTTATTTGACCTAAATTATAAAACAATAATGATCTTCAATAGAAAAAAACAAGAGAAAAAGAATATTTTTAAGATACATTTGTCTTTTCAATAAAATGATCAATTATATGTTGGTTTTTTTTCTTTCTTATTATTATGCTTATATATTCAACATTTTGTCATTTATTTCCTTTTATTTTGGAATATAGTGCAATAGAAATTTTGATAAATATGGTCCAATGATATGCACAGAGAAAATTCGATTTCTCTGTAGAATTTTTCTGTCATTTCATTAATTATATTAATAGAAATAATCAGCCGAGCGAACAAATACTGTTGTATATTCGTCGATCATAATAATCAGAAACAAGTGACAAACAAAGTCTATTAGTTATTTCGTATTTAATCGATTAAGTCTGTTTGTATATATAACGTGAGACAACTTTGTATATATGCCGTTATTTCCGTTTTGCCTTGCACAAAAATAATAAAAACTACAGCGTTGTTCTATTGTCATGTAGCCCTTTCTCATTGCCTTGACTATTGAATTGATGAATCGCTGTTGACTTTTTGCTGTTTTTCTGTTGGATGATGAATTGATAGATAGATAGTTGTATATAACTGATTATCGTTGATAGAAATACATAGACAACATAGCTTAATTGATTGTCTCTGCTTGCTCTAGCATCTATATATTAGTTCCATTGAATTCTAATGTCCTTTGCTATGCAAATCTTATGACCTTGATAAAATAAGACACTTGAAAAAAAAGAAAGTTGTCATCAATAGAAGATACTATAATTAACCAGACTGCAATGCCGGTCAATGACAAGTCAAAATAGAACAAACGGATTTATTGACAACGATATATACATATTATGATATATGTGAGTAAGGACAAGGAAATGTCTTTCGTAAACGAGTAAAACATGTGTATTTGTACACATTTATTCATGTACTCGTAGTACACAACCACCACAAAAAGCCCTCAGGAAACTAGACATACACACAATATGTTGTAGTTTTGAGACAGAATAGATAAATAGATAGATGTGAATATTCTTTATTTGAAAAAAGATCCTTGATATGTAAATAGATTATACTAGAATATAATATTCTTTTTGCAAAGTTAATTTAGTAGAATTATTCTATATAAAACAAAAAGTCAGAACAGAAAAAGTGATGAGTCTATAAGGAACTTGCTTGTTGTTGTTGTTTTCAAAGATCTATTCGATTCATCAAACTTATTAGTATATCTTATATTCCAACTGAACATAAAAAAGATAAGAAGACTGCTCTAATTAGTTTTGAATAATAAAATTTAAAAAAAAAAAAAATCTGCAAACTAATCGCTAAAACCTATTGAAGATTACATAATGTAGTTCATTAATGATAAAAATAATGATAAGATACTCCAATCCATTTTAGTTGATTATCATCTTGAAATTTACTGTTATTGAACATTAAAGTCAGATTGTAATGATCATTAATTTGATTTGATATGTTGAAATAATATTTGTCCCGATTAGTTGTCCTTGACAATGTTAACGTTATTCAGATCAAAACTGTTGATTAATATTCATATATGTGCATTGATCAACCCAATGCTACATAGAAAAATCATCATAATTAATAGATAAGATAGAAAATTTGCTTATTCATAAATATGTAACGCTTGTCTTAATTTTAATGATAGGTTTTCGTATTGAATTATGTTTTAGTAATGTTTAATCTTAAAAATTGTTTTAAACCTAAATCTATTTAACTTTTTTTTCCAATATGTTGATTAGATAGTGAAGACAAATGAGTATTTTCTGTTCAGTCTATTGCTATAATCAGTGCTAATGTGATTACTCGTGCTGAATTAGTAATATATGATAATCGGTAATTTGTTAACGTCGATGATGATGCATTTATTGATGACGATAGAATTCATATTTGTTTGTCCTTTGAATTGAGTAAAGGTATGATTGATTTATTTTATTGTAAGAGATTTGATGCATAATAATATTATCATTTATTTGAAACCATTCCTTGCCATAGTCAATGTCAGGTTTTCTTTTATGTCTCAATATACAAAATGTTCAGGAAAGTCTTCTATTGGGTTTCT